CTGCTCTTTGAGGTGACTGGTTTGGTGGATGAGTGTTCTGTATTTTTGAGCTGGTTGAGTTGGACTCTTGTGTAAAGTCTGACCGTCTGGCTTCAGTTTTCTGGTTGACTTGCTGCCCCGTGTTGTCTAACTAGTTCTTGTTTTTGTTTGCCGGTGTTTGTCTTCTGGCTGATTGCACATATTATGTAATGGTGAGCTGGTTTGAGAGAGAGAGACAGAGAGAGGGAGGGAACCGCACCTGGGGTCTGCCATCAGCACGCAGTCAGAGAGGTGCTGGAGGCTCCTTTGTGAGCTGTTTATTTAGACAGCTGTCCCACACACACACACACATCTCTGTTGGGAGAGAATAATTTAATGTTTGTCTATATGCAAGATTTTTTCAACTGATTATAAAGAAGTTTAGAATACATGATGATCATTTTTGACATGTGGGATCAATATCTTGCTCATAATGCTGTTTTCCTTAACCTTTTGCCAAGCAGACATAATGTTTATGAAATGAACACATTGAGCTTTAAGTAACACAGCTAAAAGTGACTAAAAATTATTATTCAGAAAGATTTTTAAAAATATTATTATAATATATGAGTATATTATTATCTTATATATTTTATATATTATTATTGTTTCATGATTATTTTTATTGTCATAATATTTCTATTACTGATTTATGACCAGTAGGTGGCGCAGTTTTGAAGCTGCCAAACTAGAATTTGAACGCCCGTCCAAACTTATGGCACCCCTGCATTTTTACTGTTTATTTTTACAGTTACCAATAAGAGTGTAGTGCTCTCACGGCATTATGCAAATATTTCCACATAGTGAGGTAGATATGTGGGGGCGTGTTAGAACGAGCCGTTTTAGGGGGGCGTGGCAGAGTCTTAACTTTGATAAAGAATATCTCTTTGGTTTTGAGACTTTAGTCTTTGCAACTTCAGGAATCTTATCTATGCACAATCAGCTTGTAACACTCCAAAGAGAAATGAAAACTTGAAATCGCATCATATGACCCCTTTAATGATATTCACCCTTATACCATGGCATCCGTCTTCCGGTGACTTTGCGTGACCTCTACCATCTTCTGCTTAGCAGCTTAGGAGGGTTTCCAGGTTGTGATTATTCTGACTTAGAAAACTGATTTTCTAATTATAGCTTGAGCAGTAAGCAGTGTTTTCATGGCAGATGTTCTGTACTGATTCAGTGCAGCCTCTGCGTCTCTGAATCACATAATCTACCCCTTAATTGAAGGAGAATGTTGTTTACATAAACACTCAAGCAGCGACGGCCGGTGCTGATGGTTAAAATACAGCTTCGGCATGAATACGTTCTCCTAATAAGAGCAGAAGTCATGCGGCGAGGCGGCTGTGGTTATTTTTGTTTGAAGGAAAGCTGGTGCTTTGTTTACATCTGGTGTTACGAAGACTGGAAGCTGGCCAGACCCTCCTCTCCCCCTCACTGTCTTTCTGAGCTGAATAATAGATAAAGCCACGGCGATGATTGGCACCACATCTCGTCCGTATGGAGGAATGAAAGAGCGCCGCGCCAGCTAGTTATTACGCACCCCGACCTCAGCGACGACTCGCCATTCGGCCCTCATTTTCAATTCAAAAGCGGACGGTTTTACATTCACAGGAACAACAGGAGCATCTAAATGGAGAAATTAAAAGTGTGTCTGTCTACAGGTGCCTGTCTGACTGAACAAATCTCAAACTAGCTGCATGATTTTGTCTTCTAGAGTCATTGATACTTCACTGATCTGAATCTTTGATCCGCATCATTGCACAAAAATGGTTATTAATTGACTAAATGAATTACTTTGAGTGAGCCTAATTTGTTTATGTTCACTTTTTAACCAGTCAAAAGTTTAAGATTTTTGAAAGGAGTCTCTTATGCTCACCAAGTCTGGATTTATTTGGTCAAAAATACTGTTGAAAAGTAATATTATTCTATTGTAATATATTTTGCAATGGCAAAGCTGAATTTCCACAGCTGTTACTCTAGCCACAGCCACATTACTCCAGTCTTTTGTGTCACATGATCCTTCATAAATCATTTTAATATTCTGATTTGGTGTTCAGATGTTTTCAATTACTGTTGGTACTCAGTTATTAATGGTTCTTACTTTTGTTAATGTTTATGCTGCTTAGTTTTTATGGGTTCCACAAAAATATTGTTTTCTACATTGATAATAATGAGAATCGTTTCTTGAAAGCCAGCTCAGCATATTAAACTGATTTTAATTTAATTTCATTTCATTTCATTTCATTTCAAATAAATGCATCCTTGGTGAGCATAAGAGACTCGAAGACATTTTTAAAAAAAATCTGAATTATTCCAAAATTTTGACCGGTTGTGTGTGTGTGTGTGTGTGTGTGTGTCGCATTGGTTGGTAAGCTAATAATGCAATAAAAATAAAGCATAAAAACAGGTTTTAGCTAAATTTCTATTGTTTATATAATATATTTTAGTTGGATTTAAGTTTGGTATAAAAATTTTTTGGTATAAAATATTTCTAATCAACTTTCCTCTCACTTTTTAATTGTAAAGTTAATCGCTCTACATTCAGGGATTGCCTGCTCTTTGAGGTGACTGGTTTGGTGGATGAGTGTTCTGTATTTTTGAGCTGGTTGAGTTGGACTCTTGTGTAAAGTCTGACCGTCTGGCTTCAGTTTTCTGGTTGACTTGCTGCCCCGTGTTGTCTAACTAGTTCTTGTTTTTGTTTGCCGGTGTTTGTCTTCTGGCTGATTGCACATATTATGTAATGGTGAGCTGGTTTGAGAGAGAGAGACAGAGAGAAGGGGGAAACCACACCTGGGGTCTACCATCAGCATGTAGTCAGAGGTGCTGGAGGCTCCTTTGTGAGCTGTTTATTTAGACAGCTGTCCCACACACACACACACATCTCTGTTGGGAGAGAATAATTTAATGTTTGTCTATATGCAAGATTTTTTCAACTGATTATAAAGAAGTTTAGAATACATGATGATCATTTTTGACATGTGGGATCAATATCTTGCTCATAATGCTGTTTTCCTTAACCTTTTGCCAAGCAGACATAATGTTTATGAAATGAACACATTGAGCTTTAAGTAACACAGCTAAAAGTGACTAAAAATTATTATTCAGAAAGATTTTTAAAAATATTATTATAATATATGAGTATATTATTATCTTATATATTTTATATATTATTATTGTTTCATGATTATTTTTATTGTCATAATATTTCTATTACTGATTTATGACCAGTAGGTGGCGCAGTTTTGAAGCTGCCAAACTAGAATTTGAACGCCCGTCCAAACTTATGGCACCCCTGCATTTTTACTGTTTATTTTTACAGTTACCAATAAGAGTGTAGTGCTCTCATTGTACCATGTTTAAATCTATTCCATAATCCCCCCCCC